TCAGGTCTGACTTCAGGCTGACTGCAGGGGTGAGTCTCTGATTGCTGAGAGCACCACCTGGCCAGCCCTGGTACTGCAGCCCACAAGGCAGGTGAGTCCCACCGTTATTGGCAAGTCCATTCCTGACAGTTGAACTGCTGCATATTGATCTTTGCTTTATTCAAATTGAACTCTGGAATTCTTGGAAAATTTACCCTTGAGGTGGCACCAGGGGCGGACTGACAACTCATGGGGCCCCCGGGCAATAGGGGATCATGGGGCCCCTGTGTCCTCATCCACACTCAAACCACACCCATAAAAGCCTATGAAAGGTTCCAGGGGCATCTCATGGGACCCCCTACTGACCCCTGGCCCTCGGGCAGTGCCCGAGTACTCGAATGGTCAGTCCGACCCTGGGTGGCACCTTCCTCCCCCCAAACCTATTTTGTTCCTTGCTGTGGCGTTTTCCTCTTCTCTCTAAAGCTTCATGTTGTGAACAAGCCCTGCATTGTACTTAGGCAAGAGGCTTCATGGGACTGGTTCCATAGATGGAGGGAGCTGGTCAGAGTGGGGAATAAGTATTACCCCTAGACTTAACATGTGTTTAGTGTCTTGGGAGGGGGGGGACTGTCTGAAGTGGTGCTTTAATGTAATTGTACTATTTAAAATCTACTATTTTAAAGTTTTTAATAATCGACAAAGGTCAGAACTATTTAAAATGTATGTCCAACCAAAACTCTTTTTTTAGCTTTGGAGGAAGAATTAGAATTCCTATCCAGGGATCCATAAGAGTATGGAAAGGCTTGAACCCCTTTAGCTTTTTATTGCTGTTGGTTACCCCACTGCAGATTTTCCTTTATTTCCCCTTTGATTAAACTGTTGTCACTGTAACAGTAACTGATGGGAGATCTCTTAACAGGTTAAAGCCTATTGACATTATTGGCAGCATTTTTGGTCATGTCCATACTTGCTCAATGACCTCACCCAGGGTACCAAGCTTTGTTTACATTTAGCTATGGGGGCTTGAATCTGTCATTTGCAAAGTGAGGGTCAGAATTGGACATTTTGGAAAGTTTCTTCTTTTAGCTGGTCAGCATGCATTGTTCATCAAAATTCACTAGGAGCTGCATAGCTGGACAACATTTTGTTATTTTTTAATACAGGACTGGTCAAAAAGTATCAGTGTATTTATTTACTGTTTACTTTTTTAGAGAGTAAATGGAGGAGTGAATGAATGGTATCTTGGGACCCTCTGATGTTTACAGTAGGCTTCCAGATTTTGATAAGCCTTCCCTCTCAGAGCCCAGCAACCACCCAGGGAAGGGTCTGGGGAAGAGAACCTTGTCTTCATCAACATGAGGACAAGGTGCTTTGCCAAAGGGGTTTCCTGTGGCAAGATACCCTGCTCATAAAGCCTAGCTTGTTTCAGGAGGGTGGCAAGATCGTCATCCTCCACTGTTTCCTGGCCTGCCAGGCTGCATGCCCTGATGAGGGTCTGGTATGGATTTTGAGGGGGGTCCCAAGCTTTTGTTCTTGTTTATTATGTGGGGTTGCTAAAATACTTTGTTTAGTACTCACATTAAAAATGCCTAAAGAGGAACTGAGCTCTAGAAGCCATACCTGACAAAAGGCATGCTGATAGCAAAGGATTTGTGTCCAATATTGGTCTCCCAGCAGCTGACCTTTTTCCCATTGCCAACAATTCCTTGTTCTTAACTGCATCTCTGTGTGGAGATTGTACTTTTGGTAGAGGCAGGGTTTTGCTTCTTCAAGTAGCACTACCCCCTTAGGTGTTGCTGATTTTTTGGGTTCCCCTAAAATTCTTCACAGCCAGGAAACACGCATTTTCTTCCACACTTTGCACACTGGAGTCAGTAAACAGTCCTTGAGCTTTGTTTTGATGTTTTATTAAGGGATTTTGAACTTGGATGGGATTGAGGGATGCATGGGATGCCCAAGGAACTGCAAACTTAAGGACAAACCCCTTAGCAACTATGTACAGATATGGACAAAATAGTCCCCTCCTCTTAGAGCATTCCAGCTTTCTGGTTTACCTCCTCAGACCCCAGATGAATCCTCCTCTTCATCCAGCTGCTTAAGGGTATCCCTGGGCAAGGGGACCCAGAAACTGTTGCTGAGCAAAACAGCCCCAGATGAGAAACTAGCTGGGTTTTCCACCTGACTGCCCTCCAACCTCATCCAGCCCAGAGGGTGCAGGATTACTCACTTTGTCTCTCCTGTGAGCTTTGTGGGTTGGTGGCTGCCTTCAGGTCTTATGCTGGGCTGGCTCCTTCCCTGCTCCACAGGCTGTCCTCTGGGGATGATGGGGCAGAGAGATCGTCCTTTCAGCTCCTGCCTGTAGGTAGGCCCCTCTGCTGGGCTCCATCCCAGGCTCCACACTTCAGCCTTCACTCCATCTTCCACCCGACACACTCTAAACTCTGCACAGGCTCTGACACTTTTTAGGGTTGCCCTGGACACCATGCCAAGCCTCCTGCCAGGGGATTGGCCAGGGTCTCTAAAAAATGCAGATCTGGGCATCCTCCCCTCTTCCACCCCTCTTTCAGAAAGTTCTTTAAGTTTCTGGAAGAGTGGGAGGGCTCCAGATGCCCTGACCTGTTAGAGCCTGTCCTGAGGTAACCTCACTTCCCAGGCTGCTACTCACCCTTTATCTAACAAAATACTTGCCTAACTAATCTGGGGGGCGTTGCTCTCATATCAAAGCACCCAACAAGTAGAAAATTGAGCAGCACAGCAGTAACATCACCAAATCTCACTCAATTTCCTGAGACTAGCAGACTTAGATCTCACACCATAGAAATACAGCTATAAGGCTGTGCACAAAGGAGAGCAGATTCACATACAAGGAAGTTCACTGCTAATTTTTAGGAAGAATTCCAGACAAAAAGGTAATTTTTTTCAGGAAACTGCTTAAGCTACAATGAACATTTCTAAATGTTCCCAAAATTATAGCATTCTTCACTTTTTGAGTTCCGGCTTACACTATCCTTTCTATGAATTTATTTTCAAGGCATTACCTGAGACCTCAGAAGAGACACTTTCAAATGTGAAGAACTCAGAAGGTGTCCAGATGAGAATAAAGAGCCCAAATGCTCAGCATGAGCGACTGAGCCAGTCGAAGTCAATGGTCATCATTGATCCTGGAGAAATTAGCAAGCAGGTAAGTGAGGCCAACCACTAATATAAGTAAGGTCTATTACTGATTTACAGCATTTTAATATGCATTGTAAACTTGTTTTTTATTAATAAATCCTTCATTTATGAACAAGTCAAATACACTGGATACAAACCAGTCATTGATATTATGACAGTTACAGTGTCACAGGGTCATGAAAAAATACTAGCGACCATTTATACTTCCAATTGAACACATTAACAGACACAAAGCTATAAGAAATTAACAAAATGTTGTAGAAGGGTCTCCAGCTCTTCAGATGACCTGAGGCTGACCATAAGTATATTTTGATCAAATTACCTTTTCTACTAGTCCATGAGCTTTTATGTGGATATAGAGGGAATATAGGGTAACCAAGGGGGTGGGAGACTAGGGGCGCTAGGGAAAGGTTGGGCTCCAGACAGGGGAGGGAGGAGGTGGGAGCAGGCAGAAGAGACATGGAATCAAGTATATCCGCGCTAGGTATGAGACAGAATAGAGGAGAAGAGATAGATTCTATTCCCCTCTGCCCTAAGCCACTGACCAGAAGTATAGAAGATTATTGTTTATACTATACATTCCCTAAATGTCAATCTGGCCAGCCACATAAGGATGACTGGTGCGTGTTGTTATATCCATAGGTCTGGAATACAACTTTGAGCTGTACTGATAAAATGTGGCACAACCAAGCATTTATAAATTGTCTTTGGTAAAATTATGATGGTGCTATAAAAATGTAAAGTTAGTCTTGATATAATGGTGGTTAGACTTGTTTTCTCTGACTTGGTATTAAAAAAAAAACTCTCCAGCTACCCTCCTTAGCCCCCAACTTTTTTTAACCTTTTTTCAATAACAAATTTTTGTGATGTTTACAGCCTTGCTGCTGAAATTTTGTGCTGCGTCTTTCCACTGTGAGAAATAAAACTGGACAAAATACCTGCTTCATGTGGTAATGCAGCTTTATGTCTTTTTATACTTGATGGCTTATTGGAGCCCTCATGTTAAGTCAACACTACAGCCTGTGAGAGAAGCCGATGCAGGCATTTGAGTTGTATCATTGGTTAACAGCATGCTTCTGGTTCAGCTAATTTAAATCAATGGATAGTTACTGTTCAGTCATGGGCATTGAAAGAAAAAGATGTCTGCAGCAAGGTTGCAAACAAACTTAAAGTGTAACCAAAGTCAAACATTTTCTTTTTGTTTTGGACAGAGTGGAGATGGATTAGAACTCCTATCAATTGTTATATTTGTGCCCCTGTTAGGGAGATTCACCCTCTCTATTTATTCTGTTCACCATTACCATTGAAAGTAAAAGAAAATCCAAGATTTTGGGCTGTCCTCAGATAAGTAACAGAGGGAAAATCTTCCAATGGAACACTAGTTCTGGTTACCAGGGGATCCCCTAGGAATTCCCTTAATTTGAAGTGATTTTTCTCTTACTTACTTACTTACCATTTGGCTTTGGGACAAGAAGTGAGCGGAATTATCCCAAATGGGATGTAGATGGCAAAAAAATATACTGACAGGGGTTATAACCCTCCCTTACTCTATCCAAAATGAGAAAAACTTTTGCCTATATTTCTTCCTTAAGTTGGCCACCACCTTGAAAAGAGGTAAACCTTGAGTGGGTGTGTGTGTGGGGTGGGGAGAGTTATCTTAGAATAGGTTGTGGGCTTCAGAGGGGGTACTGTGGAGTTTTTTTTATTAAAGAGCACCTAGAATTAGGTAAAAAAAAAACATAATGCTGTTAAAATGTTGCTAGACTTGGAACTTAGTTTTTCAGTGATAAAGGTGGTGAAAGTTTACTGTGGAGAGAAATTTATCATAATCTCAAGTAAAAATTTATTGCACACACAGCCAACTAATGCAGTATGATTACAGTGAAGCACAAACACATAGTAAAAACATAGTAAAACAAACTCATAGTAAAAACACACCCTGCACACAGTTAACCCTTTAATCGCCCCTCATGTTAACCCCTTCCTGCCCAGTGCCATTAGTACAATATCAGTGCTTTATTTTAGCACTGATCACTGTATTGGTGTCACTGGGGATGTCAGTGACACCAAGTCAGTTCCCTCCAGTGTCAGAATGCCCACCACGGTCCAGCAGTTGCTGATCACCGCCATTACTAGTAAAAAAAAAAAAAAAATTCCAGTATCTATACCACCATTTGTAAAAGCTATAACTTTCATGTAAACCAATTAATTTACATGTGTTGGGATTTTTTTTTAGCAAAGACATGTAGCTGAATGTATTTTGGCCTAAATTTATGATGAAATTCGATTTTTTTTATTTTTTTTACTGGACATGTTTAATAGCAAAAAGTCCAAAATATTGTTTTTGCTCAAAATTGTCAGGCTTTTTTTTTATAGAGTAAAAAATTAAAAACTCACAGGCGATCAAATTCCACCAAAAGAAAGCTCAATTTGTGGGAAAAAAGGATGTAAATTTCATTTGGGTGCAGCGTTGCATGACCGCACAATTGTCAGTTAAAGTAACACAGTGCCGTAACACAAAAAAATGGCCTAGTCAGGAAGGGTGGGTAAGTCCTCAGGAGGGCAAGTGGTTAAACTAGTAAACTGATCCAACTAGTTCACTTGGGTCCTTGCAAAAATGCACAATGTACTCCCCCTCTGCCTTCCCAAGAACGCCTGTGTTTCATTGGAGCACAGGTTCTCTTCCTTTCACAACGTCTGTTTACTACCAGTATGAGTGGGCTCCAGTGGAAACCCCAATTATATTGGCACAGTGGTTACAGGTCAAGAAAGTCTCCCAATGATGTCAATGCCCTGATAAGGAAGAGCAGTTCTGTGTAGTGAGCAGCTGTACATTCTGGAAAGTGAACTGGTATATGGTCCTTACAACCACTTCACCAGTTTATTGAATAAATGGGTCTGGGTAGTCATTCATCCTCTGATCCTGGTTCTAACTGAAATAAACTGTTTTACTCATCTGTAAATACAGGTTTAAATCAAGATTCATTATGTTCCATTTCAACACATATTAGTTAAAATATGTTGCATTATGTTACAAATATTTACCACACCATACTGAAGACCCCTATGGTACAACTTATACTGTATATCACAAGGTTTGCAGAAAAGTTTTTCAAAGAATAGATGAAATGTATGTGTGTGTGTTCTGTGGATTATCAGAGAAAAACATTAACACAGAGACCAAGAATAACGTAATGTACAATAGATCTTCCATATTGAGGTCTACAATAAATCTTTTAATATTCCAATTACTAATAAGGCTGATGTAATGGTAGAATATGAAGGTTAGGTGATGCAAATGCTACCCGTAGACACATGATGATTTTTGTTTGATTCACATGATAACTGTTATATTGAGAAATGATTTGTGTTTGTAAATTACTTCCAACTGGAGAAAAAAGGGAAAATTGTGGATCAATTTTATTGCAAAAATAAGCTGTCAGGGATGGATTTTCCCTAGTATCAGAAGTGTATGTAAAGTGCACTTATAAGAGTGCATGTTTATGCCACATTGGTTGCACAATAGTCAACTGAACACAGTCTCATGCCTATAGCTAGTGAATATCGCCCTTAGTGAACTGATAGCGAATACCACATTTAGAAAAAGGACTAGGGAGATATCTACTCCAAACAATCGCCTGAATGCAAGAACTTATTGAGACACCCATCCAATGGTTGTAACAGCACTCTTGGCTCCTTTCCTCTTCTTCTGCATTGCAAATTAAAGTTTCAGGCCAACAGTCAACAGACTATAAAGTCTATGTATGGTGTAAGTACTCCAATGCAAAAGTGTGAATCTGGCCTTAGAGTATTAATAAACCGAGACAAAAGCCCACAGAAGTGATGTGGCCTCAGGTGATACACATTGAGGAAATAAATTCTCCTACATAAGTTGTACATGCATAGCCTTCTCCTCTCCTTTTCAAAGTACACAGTGTAGATGGTATTTCTCACTTCCAGACGGCAGGGTGCAGGGAACTATGTCACACACTGCACAGCACAGAACTGAGTGTGGTCTGAGACCTGAGTGGAGGCAAAGGACACCCCCGATCCTACACAACCTCACTAAGAAACTTTCACATCTAAGACTGTCAATCATCTGCTGTGGGCTAGAGGTGGGGGTCAGCCATCTCCAAGGATTGCCTGGTATATGGAAAAACTGTCGGAAGTGCCTCCTGCAGATCAGATGGCAGAGGAAGGATAGAGCAGCCAGGATACATTCTAAGTGCTATGGACTGAGGCATATGAAAATATGATTTGTTCATTTTTCATTTCAGAGGTTCACAACCACTTTAATATATCTTTTTATCTTAATGGAAATCCACTTATTCTTCCCACACTTCAGTGCTCCATTGGCATAGAAAAGTAACAGTCACACAGTTTGTTACAAGCCTCCTTGCAAAAACATAACCCTGACACCAAGAGTGGGAGGGGGTGTCTAACTGAGTCAGTTAGATTATGGAGTGCATTGGCCAGCGTGGTCAAGCTCTGGCACCTATTTAGACACACTGTGCAACTTCTACGACAGCAAGTTGTAGGCACGTCTATGCAAATTAAGGTTGTTACTCCAGTGTTTATCCAACTGAATATCTATTGATGTGCCTTCAGATGGGCTTTAACCTTTTTTAGCAGTTGCACAGAAATGACACAATGCAAATGGTACAGTTAAACAAATACTGTACAAAATAGCAATCCCCACGTAGCTCAGCCTTAACAGCTGAGCTATAGTAATGTACATTCTATAGACTGCCTCTAAGATAAATTATCTACATCAGAACAGTTAACGAAAAAAATCACCCAACTGATCTGTAACGTTGAGCGTTTAAATCACACTTGATTCGTGTAAGACACTTCTTGACAGCATCAGTCCATCAAGAAAAAAATTACCTTTGAAAAAGTTTAAAAGTTAAGTATACTTAATGAAGCCAAACATATTTTATTGCCTGTGTTTAACAAAAGGCGCCCGGCTGCCGTTGTTTTTTGATAAGCATGAAAACATCCCAGCGTGAGGCTGCAAAAGGAATTATGTCGAGAAATTAGAAGTGATCCATTTTGCAATGAATTATCCACCTCAATAGCCTGCAGAACCCAGCTACCAATTAACACCTACTTTATTACATGTTGGGATATACTTAATAACTTTCATGTGTTTCTGCACTATTACCTTGACTGATGCCTCTTGTACAATTAGGCATAATTGGCATATCAATATGCAAAAGTTAAAAAGATTAACCCTCTTAAAACTAATGAGCATTTCTGTATCCAGCTGCTAAATGAGACAAAATTAGCATTTTTCACTTTTGGATAGGATTTTATCATGCCGTTCTTCACTGTTGACATTACCTTGTTATATAAGTTCAGTTTTTTTGGCAAAATATTTAGGACAATTACCGGCAAATGAGTTTCGAATAGGGAAAAACAAAAAAAGTTATTAGTGATAACAAAGGAGGAGGGCAAAGAGGTTGTCCGGAGCACTTTTGGTACCTGCGCCATTACAGGAGATGGGACTTGTGTGGCCTTTTGCCAGTTACATCGGAGGCGCTAATAGCCCGATGTGATGTGAAGGGAAGGAAAGTTGAAATGTTACTGCTACATTGGATGGCAGATGTAATGCGTACACTGTTTAATTATTTTTGGCATGGGCACAATGTATTTTTCCATACAAATTGTCGGAGGTGGATGGCGACAACAAGCATTAATATGACACCATGCTGTTTCGTAGCATAGACCGAGGATTGATGGCGAGAAGCTCCAGATTTAAGAGAACCCCCTGGTGCTTGCGGAGCTGTCACAACGATTACTGAGAACAGGGCTAGGACGGTTTATGGCCTTCAACAGTATGGCATGAATACCGTGTAGTAATTCTAAATGAGTATTAAGATTGGCGTCATAATTATTTATAAGTGCCGTTTTCTGCATTGCGGCATGAAGAAGACATACAGCCTGTCTCTGCAAAGCTCATTTAGCCACCATAGCTGTTTTTCAATATAATTTGTATTGAAGAGCAGAGGAAAACAGAGATCCATGTACCTAATTTTTTTTCATGTGGTTATCACAAGAGGTTGGCATAAACCAGATGGCAGTGGTGGGACCAGACCTAAGGCTAAGGTTGTAGTCTTGTGCCCTCCACTGTCTGATCTCTATATAGTTAAAAGAAACAATTCAAAATAGTACACAATAAAAATATAGAACACAAAGAAAAATTGCAGAATTGTTTTAAAGTTAAAGAAAATATAAACTAACCAAGTAAAATAATGTCGCATAAAAAATGGTGGGAATAAATACAGTATTTACAAAAAAGACAAGAATGACAATAAAACTGTAAAGAAATAGGGATGAGGAAAAGAATAGTAGAAATCGTAAGTAATAGAGTGTTAAAACATAAAACATCATAATACTTTGACTGTCTGTTGGGAAGTACACCCACAGGTATAGTGTTATCATCACCCTGGGCCTATTACTGCTACATATGTGACTGAAATGACTAAACCTATTTCCTGCTCTCAGTACTGACAGCCTAAAGTAAGAATAAACAAGGCATTAAGAAAATAGAAAAAAAAAAAGATAGATGGAAGGATAAATACCATATATACATCTTTCTGTCCATGGTTGGACCACCCTATGACATGCTATATGAGGTTTCATAGGCTATTAGCTCAGGAAAGAGATTATACCAAAGAACAGTGATCAAACCCACTTTGCCATCAATGGCTCACAAATAAACATTTTCTAGTATCTCTCTGTAGTTACCCTGCCAAAGTTTGAGTGGCATTAGTCGAAATGTAGTGTTTCCAGCTAGGCTGTAGCCAACTTGAGCTCATTGATGATTATTGTTTTCTTAGGTCATAGAGCAAGAAGATACAATGGGTTTTCCCCTATGCCTAGGATATTGTTTCATCACTCCTCAGGCCTTGTCTGGAGGGGATGAGCAACTTTAACTTCTACTGATCCACATTTTTAAGTATCACACAGGAAAGCCCCATAGAGCAACCACCTGATAGATTTTCTCATTATAATCACACCCGAGTATGGCATTTCCTTTTTTAAAAAGGTAAAATAGGGTCAACAAGTACATCTGCCATACTCAGGGATCGATTATAAAAAGTGGAAAAAATGATGGCTGCACTCTCAGCCAGAACTTTTTGTGGGCTTGTTTTCATCTGGGGGGATACCTAAAATGTTCTGCACTTTATAGTAAGTCAATTTCAGTTTT